TCACACACACACACACACACACACACACACACACACACACACACACACACGCACACACGCACACACGCACACACATTTTCGTGTCTATTGATGGAGAGTGTCACCTGCTGGAAACTAGGTTTAGCGTTCCATGGACATCGTGAATAAAACACCGATCGGGACCCCACACACACACTCTTCGAGTTGTGCATAGCGAACATGACAAAACATACATACAACATAATCACTACCTTACCCTTCTCGAACCACATCAAGAAACAAACTACGGGTTGCGCACTCGTGCCCTCATGGTAAGTTCGCAGCCCTAAGGCTACGGTATAGTGGACTTCGGCATCTGTGTCAAGGTGTCGCATTTTTTGCGGGGGGCGACCCAGACGCAAAGTGGGTTCTTAGGGGTGGAAAATTTCCGGGGACCGGTCCTTGGCAAAATTGCGGACTACCTACAGCTAACTCCGGTAGAATTGGGATTTTTGGAAAAAGGAAGGACCGGTCCTCAGGTGGAAGCGGACCCCAAAAAGACGTGAGGGCATGTGAACTGAAAAAGAGCCCTCAGGCCCAGGCGTCGAGGCCCGTTTCTCAAAACAGAGAGGTAAGGCGCAACGAAACAGACATTTTACAAAAGGTAACTTTGACGATTTTCTGTGCTTAGAGGAATCTGCAGAAAAATCTGGAAATTTGAGAATTCATACATGAGGTCGATTCTTTCCAGGAAAATTATCACAACATTTTAAAAAAATCATTTACACCACAAAATAATCGTCACGCAAATTCGGCACGTTTTCCATTTTTGCCACTCAACCATGTGCGGGCCAACTGAAAAAGTACTCCGAATTCAGTGAGTTTTCGTGCTCAGAAGAATGCGTGAAAAAAACCTAAAAATTGAAGTACTCGTAGATTTTATTATGATTTTCCCAAAAAAAAACCTAAATAAATTCAAAAAAATAATTCGAATTATGAAATAGATCGCCACCGCAATTTAACCCATATTTCAATTTTGTCATTCCGCCTCTCTCTCTCTCTCTCTCTCTCTCTCTCTCTCTCTCTCTCTCTTTCTTTCTCTCTCTCACTCTCTGTCTCTCTCTCTCTCACTCATATCAACAAATGGAACAAAACTCTCTCTCTCTCTCTCTCTCTCTCTCTCTCTCTCTCTCCGTCTCTCACTCTGTCTCTCTATCCATCTATCCATCTATTTCTCTCTCTTTTTTTCACTCTCTCACTCTATGTCTCTCTCTTGTGCACGCTCTTAGTCTCATTGATTTGGCGACCTTAGGGTTGTGTTCCTCGCGTCCAAACGGTAGACAATCAATTAGTATGCCCTAGCAGCTTTGAGGCGTCTGCGATTTTTTGTGGGGCTCAGCTAAAGCATACACAGGGCCTCGCTCCACCGCACACCATGAGTAGTTGAGCAAGACCCATACCCTACGCCAGGGGTTCATCTCTTCACTCGACATAGGGCTTGCGGCCACGCGGTATGTCAGTAGTTAGTGGAAGTATCAAAGAGGTATCAGCTGGGATATCTGGTCGTATGTCCGTATTTCTTCCCCTACCCATACTGCCTTTGATTCCAGTTATCCCACCTTTCACATGTTCCTGTAGAGGCTTCCCCGCAGTCGTCACTCGCCAGGTCAAGGGAGCTGCCAGGGTTATGCACTTCGGCCCTTGGATGGGCGTGGATGGTGTGTGGACCGGTCGGTGGTTAGGCTCAAGTGGGTTAGCTTCCTTACGCGGTGACGACGAGACGCGTAGAATGCCCCCTTTTCGTTCATGTTCATTGCTTGGTATCCCGCGCTGGGTTGGCTTGGTGGCGCCTTCAGGAGTGGTTTGGTGGTTTCCGGTGGGCCTGGCGTGCCCCCATTCATCCCCACCACCCACCCCGTCGTCTACTCCTTACGCGCGCCCTTCCTCCTGCCTGGAGTGCTGCCTGGCGCGCTCGAAGCCCGCTTGCCCGCTCGCCGCTCGCCCGCCCGCTCGCTCGCCCGCTCGCCCGCTCGCCCGCTTGCCCGCTTGCCCGCTCGCCACTCGCCCGCTCACCCGCTCACCCGCTCGCCCGCGTGCCCGTGCCCGTGCCCGTGCCAGCGCCCGCGCCCGCGCTCACGCCCGCCGGTGCCCTACGCGGGCCTAGCCGGCATCCTGCGCTCATTCCCTCTCGCAGCCTACACGCCCGCCACCGGTGCCTGGCTGGAGTTTTCCCTCGCTACCGGTAGTGGTATCAACGTTGCCAAGAGGATGACCCACTGCTGTCTAGAGTGATGTCGTCTCTGACCGGCATCAGAAGTTTGCCCGCCAATTCCCTCCATAGACCTTGTTGAGTAGCTAGTGAGTAGGCGCCTGTGGAGGTGGACGGTGCATGAATTGCAGCAGCGACGGCGGGGCAGCGCAGCACGACCCGCCAGTGGAAGAAAGCGCCTGGTACCTATCCATTGGCTGTTCTCTGCGGGCAGGTTGGAGTGGTTCGTGATAGGCTTGCGATAAGGCGGTTAACTTGCTCCTGAAGGTGGCGACGGGATGCTCAAGCGCACGGCGGGTGAAAAGTGCATGGAGGCGAAAACCCGTCAACTGCATGCATGAACGATAGGGCGTTTGTCGTGTCACGTTTCCCTCGCTCGCTCCTTCGGCGAGAAGAGAAGAAGCGCGCGAACTCTTTTTCGTTGTCGTTGCGCTCTGTCTTTCTGATTCTCTTTCTTCCGCGTTAATCGCTTGGTCTGGGCTTCTCTATTTTTCACTGCTTCTGTTTTTTGATCTTTTTCAACGGAGGGTAGACATGTGTGTCTGTGGAAGACGCGGATGTTTTTTTCAATCGGTATCTCTCGTCTTGTCGTTGGCTTGAGCATGCAAGTATTCATTGTAAATCATTGACAGGCACATAGATTGCTAGATAAATAGATAGATAGATGGATAGATAGATACATAGATTGATCGATAGGTAGAGACACAGATTGATTGATTGACTGATGGACTGATTCATTGATTGTTGATCGTTCGATGTCCGGGCAACTCAATATCCGGGCAGTTGTCGTTGCCCAACTCTTTCAGTAGTGACATTATTTGCCTCTCCTCGACGCCTGTTTCGTATTCGGTAGTCGACTCCCTGGAGCCTTCCACGACTTTATAAAGGTACGGAATCCGGGTTGTTGTCGGTTATACCTCCCACTCTCAGGTGCGTGTGGAGGTGACCGAAGAAGGACGGGAGTACCCCAAGTGTGACAGGAGAGTGCGAAAGCGTGAGGGGAAGGGCGAGGAACAACAGCTTTCTGGTGAGGCGGTAGTCTGAAGGGTTTTGCCGCATAATGAGCGCCGTGTCGGTGGCTTCCGCGTCCCATTTCACGCCTACCGCGTGCGCGGCGGTTTCTGCGTTTGGATCGTCTTCGAGGGTCATGTACGAGAGCTTCTCACAGCGGCGGACGAAGCGGCCCCGAGCGAAGAAGGTGTCGTGGGCACCCGATGAAAGACTTTGCCAGGCATGTCTCCCTCTTCCTGTCCGCTTGTCCGGTTCAACACCCCTTTTGTCTGCCCCCCTCAACGGCTATTGCGGTCCCTAAATAACACTCCTTATCATTCCTTTGCTGCCTCATGATGTTCGACTTGCCCTTCCGGCTTTCTCCCGGGTGCGACTTCGGACGAGGAGAAGCCACTCGCACACAGAAGGCGAGAGAGAGAGAGAGAGAGAGAGAGAGAGAGAGAGAGAGAGAGAGAGAGA